AGGTAGGCAGGTAGGCAGGTAGGCAGGTAGGCAGGTAGGCAGGTAGGCAGGTAGGCAGGTAGGTTAATCATTTTGGTTCAGCCTTTAATAGCTTTAAAATAGAATACCATGTCTACAAACTCATGCCAGTAACACAGGTTTGTTCTTATTAGCCTTTCATTTTACACTTGTTCAGAGTGACATACCACTGTTTGAGAGGCCCATACTTGTGTTACTTAACCAGGTGGGGGCGTACCACGGTCAGGTAGAGTGTGCATCTAGTTGGTAGTGACATGATATTTCTAGCCGAGCGACGTACATACCCCAAGAGCCGGTTAGCTTTAACATTCTGTGTGAGGACTTGTTTTGTCCACGATAAGACGGAGAAAATCCAAACTCCAAGGTTGCGTTCTTCATTGGAGTGTTCAACAAAGGAGGACCCATTGAATATGGATAAAATATATACGTTCTTTTTCCGGCTTATCGTTTCACTTTGTATTTCTTAGCCTGTCAAAGGTCTTTCTGCAAAAGAGTAGTGTCAGTGTTGCTTGAGGGAAGCATCGATGGCGTGCGCTGCTAATGCGCCGCCTCTCACCAATGCGGCCCGAGTTCGAGTCCTGCCGATCTCGATGTTGTATGTGAGTAGAGTTGTTTGTTGGCTCTCTCCTGTGCTTCGAGGGTTTTTCTCCTGGTTCTCCGGTTTTCCTCCCTCCTCAAAAATCAACTTCTAAATTCTAATTCGATCTTTGGGCTTTCACCTTTCTTTAGAGCCTAGCTCTGTTGTGATTGTCCCACGCTGTGAGAGCTTTGTAGATTTTTGTAGAAACGTTTAAGAAACTTGGTATCATCTGCGAACGCTGGTACGTTACAAGAAGATACTGATTCAGTTAAGTTATTTACGTAATGTAGAAATAACATCGATCCAAGAATGGATCCTTGAGGGATACCAAAAGTTACTGGTATAGGGCATTTGAAGTAGCACCAAGCAAAGGTAAACTGTTGTTTATGACCACTCAGGTTACACAATAACCAGCGTTGGATGTTGCCACAGAAGTCATAATGACGAAGTTTGTTACTTAGCTGAAGATGAGATACTTTGTTGAAGGCTTTCGACATATCTAGATATGCCAAGTTGACCTTTAATTTGGTCAAARCCTCCTATAAGCTGAGTACTAATGCAAGATCTGCCTGGTAGGAATCCATGTTGAGTTGTGTTGATCAAACTTGTCAATTGATCTTTCATAGAATTAAGTACACAACATTCCATGTCTTCCATGGAATAGTAAGGAGAAGTCCATAGTTCTGCATATGATCGTTTTCGTCTTTCTTGAACACGGGGATTACATTTACCAGTTTTCAGTCAACTGGTACTGTATCCATTCGACTTTTTATTATACAGAGAACAGAGTGATGGACCAATTTGATATTCAGTCTCCTTCAAGAGTCTAGCCGGTATAATACCATCTGGACCTGCGTTGGCAGGATCTAAGGTCTTACAATGTAAATCGAAAAATCGTGGGAAATGAAATTATTTCAAGCATGCTTCTTAACTAATCAGAAGCGTCGTCGTTAACTTTTCCCAACTTGTGGTTAGAAAGTCAATTCTGATTGGCTTAACAATAGAACATTCCTAGAATATTTCTAGGTGCCCACGGTTTTTCGATTTGCACTGTAAGGCACCAGAGTAAGGCACGAAGTCGCCAATTCATTAGAGAGCGTCAGGACTTCCAGGATAGGCGTTGGAAGTTGGCTTGCATCAGTGGTAGGTAAATCAGGCGGTGTGTCAATGCCATCAGATGTGAAGACAAAAGCAAAGTAGCGATTGGATTGGTTAGCAACAGTAACAGGGGTAYATTTGCCTTGATTTTAGAGGAGTTATCGGAAGGAAAGGTCCTTGATTTTGATTTTAACTTTAGCAAAGTCCAGAAACGTTTGTTAGCAAAAGATCCCATCGTTGACCCGGAGCCTTCAATTTACGTGAAATTTTATTTCAATTATGTACAAAATATTTAATTTCGATGTGATCCCGTCGTCAGATCTTTTTATTTTCCCCTAAAGTTCAGAATCACAAAGTACTTTCTGTATTACTTTGATGTTTTTGATCTTTTTGCGCGTTTCCTCAGCATTTACCCTAAAAATGATTTCGGTGACCCCCATTTTTTATTTTACTTTTTGAACAAGAATTCGCTTGGGTATGTTTATCCCAAGTTTAAAAAAATTCTGATTGCAAGACTTCCTTTCCCCGCGAACATCCTTAAAGTAAGGTAATGCGTTCGTGCTTTCGTGGAATGGTCAACGCTTAGTTGTGCGCATATCCAGTTCTGAAGGCACGCGGGAGGCTGCTAAGCACGAAAGAAGCTAGAGTAGACACTTATTTCAATAAAGTTAGTCACCTGAAAAGCTACAAAGCTGAGACCGACAAGGATTATGGATAGATACATTTTTTACATCATGTCTGGATGCACGCTCGCGCACGCTAATTAGCCAATCAGAGCGCTCGTTATATCTTGGCTAAAGGCTGTAGGTCCCTGAAAATTTCAATCTATCAAACAAGAGATAAAGATGGTCGCGTTAAAAGCCGCATTCTTCAAATAAAGAAAGAGATGGAAAGTCAGTTCAGGAGAGACCCTAAACTAACTATAAAACTTTTCGGATTATCTAAACGGCCCAATCCTACTTTATGGTAGTGAAATTTGGGGCACAAACATGAGAGAGGTGCTAAATAATGACCCCATTGAATCGGTCCATGTTAAGATTTGTAAGATACCCAGTGTAGGCTTCAATAATGCAGATTTCGTATGACTGTGAAAAGTTCAGTTCCGTGCCGCAACCGTGATGGTTMCTAGAATTTTGATTGGCTTTCTTTTCTCTTGCTCAATGTGATTGGTCTAGCACTGCCGTGTCCTTGTCGTGACCGTGTCCGCGTCGTGTTCGTGACGTGTTTCGTGCATTTGCTTAGATGAAGAATTTGTGTATTGCCGCGACCGTGATGTTTTTTAGATTTTTTATTGGCTGGGTCTTTGCCGTGGCCGGGTTCGTGTCGTGAGCTTTTCACAATCATGCGAAAACTGCTCTATACTAGAGCCGGCAAGTATTGATGCCTGTAGAAGCGAACTTGGCAGATTCCATCTTAGAGTATTAACRCTGAATTTCAAAGCCTTAGTTTCTGGTTAAAGCTTATCTGCACACAAGAGAATTAATAARCTCTCTCGTCAATCGTCAGAATAAACTAAAAATAACGATAATAAGGCTCGTTGGGGCAAGAAAATCAAAAGCACCCTTTTTTCTTCAGGCTTAGAAGAAATATGGGAAAGACAAAGTGATCCTGACATTAATCGTAAGTCAATTGAAAACTTGTTAAAACAAGGAAAAAGAAATGTAGAATTTCAGACTTGGCTGGGTAATGTACACAATGATTTAAGAATGAAATCCCAGCACAAGAACAAATTAAGGACTTATCGCATCTTTAAAACAAACTACTTTTATGAAAAAAATGACTTATATCAGGTCTTCAATATATATCATATAATTGCTTTATAAAAAAAGCTGGCTGGCTGGCTGGCTGGCTGGCTGGCTGGCTGGCTGGCTGGCTGGCTGGCTGGCTGGGTCACGGCACGATCACGTGACTTAGGATTTCAACGGATCTCGATCGTGATTCTCGTTCATCAGTCGCAATTTTCAATCATCGATCGTGATTTCTCAATCATCGATCGTTATTCTCGTTCAATAGTTGCAATTTCTGGTTCATAGCGATCGATTTCTCGATAGCCAGTTGCAATTTCGATCACCAATCGCAAACTCAATACACTTTTGAATGGTATAGCTTGCCATACTGGCTGGCTGGCTGGCTGGCTGGCTGGCTGGCTGGCTGGCTGATCATTCTAATGTTTGGATGCCGTGCAATTTTCAATCCCAGTCTTTGCCTCAAAACATCAAAATGTTCATTTGTGAAAGGATTTTTCGAACAAAATAATGCACCACACAAATAACTTTAAAATGATAGCTACAAATGTAAAAATAATTTTAGCTTTGCACGAATCTGTGAAGAACTAAATAAACTTTTAATCCGAGCCCATTATTCAAATTTGCAACGTTCGTTTCTTTAATGCAAGCTTCAAAGCAAGATGGAAATCAAACTTCCGATAATAAAATGAATCTTTGAACCTTGATAGGAACGCATGAGCTGGTTTGACTGTAAACCTTTTTACCCTATAATTTGTATTTTTTTACCGGAATTCTTCTTTGAGTCTTCTCCCCCCTCCCCCCACTCCCTTGGGGCCTGATGATCAGGAGTATGACTCGGCAAGTAGAGCACGATAGGTGTCCAAATGATCGACTTCCAAGTCATCTTACTCGCAAAATTGCACGGTGACCCCCCTTTTTTGTGTGTGTGTACTTATTTGGTGTGTATACCCCCCCCTTTTTTGTGTGTGTACTTATTTGGTGTGTATTATATTGTTTCATCAACTGGCAAAGTTTTAGAAAATTGACGTTTTACTTCGCATTTGCCCGCGAACGTCATCTTAGCGAGGCTAAGCCTGTGCACTGAGTCTTTAGTCATAAAACTGGGTATTTACCGCAGATAACCGGTCATGACCCTCCATTTGAACGTCCATGACACCCCAACATGTGTGCCATGACCCCCCTCTGGTCTTACGATAATGAAAAAATAATTAATAAGATATTTTTAGAATGAGAAAAAGGGACTATTCGGTCACTGTGAATTAGCCATGTCCTGAAGTAGATCAACCCAGAGCTCAAGATTAGATCAAATGTTTTTTTGCTAAAATTATCCACAACTGTTTGACATCCTTTTTCAGATATACTTTTTAACTGAACTATTTTCCCCGACTGCTACTGGATCTCTGCCACTCTGCCATTAAACGAGCAAAATGAGAATCATGAAAGAATCATGGAGATATTGAGTTTCCAGGGGRAAAAATTCGTACCGCGATAATACCTGATCAATGAAGCAATTTTATTCTGGCTAAGTTGTATAATTTATTACTAAGTTAATCGCAGTGTTAATTTTCACATCTTTCACTAAGAATTTATCAAGCTTTTCAATGACTTTCGTTTAGTAACCATTGTTACTTCGTGTAGGTTGCTATGGAAAATGTGAAGTCATTTATGGCAAAATGCTGCTTCGGCCTCTTCGCACGACATGTTTTCATGCCACTTTAGTTGATTAGATCTGTTATCGTCATTGTTGTCCTGCAAAAAGGAAATGTTTCAACAAAAACATAGAAGGGCTGATACCACGCGCGGCGCCCACCTTAGATATACTCTATAGATGACAAAGAAATCGGCAGAAAAGAAGCTTTTCATTGAGATTTTTYCCCCATAATCTGAAACGGACAAWTCAAGCAGAGACTTTCAACATTCTTTCTTTAAACGCGCTTTTTGGTAAAAGAAAAATGTCCAACTATATTTACAAGAGTATGCATGGTTATCCCACAGTAACACAAATTACTTCGGAGCGATTTAATAAAGAAAAKYCGAATTTCTTACCGGAGTATCTCTGCCAGGCTTAAAACACACAGTCCATCTGCATTTAGCTGTGTTACAACAAACMGTTTTATAGCCAGTTGTAACATGTAGAACACTGTTGATGGTGAAGACGAGAARCASAAGACAAACCAGGCGATTCATGACGATRATMGAGAGAACGGGCCAAACTGTGTCGAGTGAAGGCGGAAAAACACAACAGTTTAGAATAAACACGAGACTTTGGGACTGGCAGACTAGTCAGTGTAGTGTAGTTTAACTGCAAGACTATAGTACTGACGTGCAGTGCTGTTGCTTATATTCAACTGAAGATACTCTATAGCTTACTCATATTTTTTTCAATCACTGCCAATACAGCTTTACAACCTGTCAGCGACCGCATAAAACAATAGCATCTAAGAGATCGACCGGTCGTTATTTATCGCCGAAGGGGGAAAGTTGAAGTGGTCGACAAAGTTCTCATTCAGGAATTATTTCATGTCGGATCTTGTTCAAAATCAGTGTTTGTTATTAATTCATCAATCCACGCCAAAAAATATACCAAAAGCTTTTCGATTCTTGTTCATCACCGTTTCTTACCATACAATTTCATTAGATTTCAGTAATAATATAATTGGTGGCTTATTTCACTAGCCAAATATAGGCCGGGCTACTGAGCGCAAACTAAAAGGACAACTTTTTCAAATATTTTCAGAGTACGACACCTTTGCGCATACAGCTTTGTGAAATTCGCATTTTTCTATAACAAAAATGAAATCCTAATTTCTCTGTACCAAAACCATTCGTGAAAATAAACCACTCCTGTATCCACATGGGGATAAATAATGGACACACCATTATCATACACAATCATCATTCCTATCTTGTCTAAACTCGAAAAATCCTGAAATATTTTGAAAACTAAACACAAGTCATTGCTTCAACCTAAACTCAAAGAATATACGTCTTGAAAACCAAAAGCACTGTTTTAAAAAACAATATTGCCGCTACCTTCTTCTGACCTCATTAGTTGTGTTCAGCGATCTAACTAGGCCACAAAACGTAGAAGAAGGTAGTGGCTCTGGCTCTGATTCTAGTGGTATTTTTTTTTCTTTTCTCATGAGCCCTTCATATTTTCAATATTGTTTTTTAAAACGGTGCTTTTGGTTTTTAGGGTGTGTCCATTATTCATCCCCATGTGGATACAGGAGTGGTTTATTTTCACGAATGGTTTTGGTACAGAGAAATTAGGATTTCATTTTTGWTATAGAAAAATGCGAATTTCACAAAGCTGTATGTGCAAAGGTGTTGTAAAAAATATTTGAAAAAGTTGTCCTTTTAGTTTGCGCTCAGTTGCCCTATATTTGGTTAGTGAAACTAAACCACCAATTGTATGGTAAGAAACGATGATGAACAAGAATCGAAAAGCTTTTGGTATATTTTTTGGCGTGGATTGATGAATTAATAACAAACACTGATTTTGAACAAGATCCGACATGAAATAATTCCTGAATGAGAACTTTGTTGACCACTTCAACTTTCCCTCTTCGGCGATAAATAACGACCGGTCGATCTCTTAGATGCTATTGTTTTATGCGGCCGCTGACTTAAAGCTATATTGGCAGTGATTGAAATAAATATGAGTAAGCTATAGAGTATCTTCAGTTGAATATAAGCAACAGCACTGCACGTCAGTACTATAGTCTTGCAGTTAAACTACACTACACTGACTAGTCTGCCAGTCCCAAAGTCTCGTGTTTATTCTAAACTGTTGTGTTTGTCCGCCTCGACTCGACACAGTTTGCCCGTTCTCTCTATTATCGTCATGAATCGCCTGGTTTGTCTTGTGCTTCTTGTCTTCACCATCAACAGTGTTCTACGTGTTACAACTGGCAATCAATGCTGTAACACAGTTCATTGCAGATGGACTACTTGTCCTGGAATTGATAGTTCGGTAAGAAATTCTTAAGGTTATCACATTAAAAAGGCAAAAGGTTATAATGATTGAGCGCTTTAGTTTTCTTTTCACCGGGATTATGTAGAAAATGCAGAAATTCAGTTAACAATGATTTTCCTAATGATTTWAAAAAATCTATATGGTGTATCTAAATTTAGACTGGATTTCATAAATCATAGTTTTCGCTCGTTTGTGGCATGGGTTGTTGTTGCTCAAATCGCGACGGTGTGCAGTGAACGATATCCTATCCAGAATCTCAAAAAGAGCAAAAACACCGACTTATAAAATCCGTCTAATCTGAAAAAAGCGTTGTCTGGTTTCCGTTCAGTCAGCCATTATCTGTTTTTGTTAACACCATTTCGTTTATTTTTGCAGGGCAGCAATAACGGTAGCACATCTAACCAACTAAAGAGACTTGCGGACAATATTAAAGTCTCGTGTGAAGAGGCAAGAGCAAGATTTTGTCATAAATGAACGTCACAGTTGCCTTGAGAATCTTCGAGGAGTAACTTTGGTTAAAAATACGAAAAGAGAAAAGGCCATTGAAAATCTTAAAAGATTGCACATTTGAAGAAAATTTAACGCTGTTAAACTAATAGTGATGTAATGTAATGAACTGTACGACTGAGACAAAAACGATGCAAAAATAAAATTGCTTTACCCAATGCCGGCACATATTTATATTTTAACTAAATATCCCTGTGAGGCACACTTATCAGTGTTTTACAAATCATTGGGGAAACTGGATTAGTTTTAAAAGCGATACGTAACTTAAACAGCTTCCGAAATAAACCGTTCACAATGAGTGCATGGTATTAAATATGGCTAGGAGGGCTAGGATTGAAAATTACCCATAATGCGCCTGATATATCGATATTCATTTTATTTACAGAATTTTGGAAAGCGTTGTATATATATATACATTATATAGCTATTCCTGTATGTCTAACGTTAAATCCATTATCGATTCCCATAACAAAAACACTCTCTCCACGAGCAATGATACTCAACCCGACCAGCAACAAAAAGAATGTAACTGCAGACAAAAACCCAATTGCCCTCTCGATGGAAAATGCCTACAGAACAACGTAATCTACCAAGCCACAATAACAACATCAACAGACACCTATATAGGACTAGCAACAAACTTGAAAGAACGCTACAGGAACCATATGTCATTCCAACTGTCAAAGTACATATGGAACCTAAAAGACGAGAATAGGAACTTTGATATTAAATGGAAAATTATTAAAAAATGTAAACCTTATGATAATGTTAACAAAAAATGTAACCTATGTTTAAGCGAAAAATTCATCATTATTTGTAAAAATCACCTATGTGCACTTAACAAACGCAACGAATTAGCAAGTCTGTGCCCCCATCGTAAAAGATACACACTTAAGAAACTTAGACCATAATGTCACGCAATTGTAATTTAAAACGAATAGATTTTGAAATGCTAGTTATATATCCTACCAACGGTCATTCATTGTAACTGCCTGATGAGTGTGGCCGTCTCGCGATGGTCATACGAAACAGATTTGTCGCAATTAAAACAATGAATCAATCCTAACATCTAAAATTAAATTTGATATACAATGCTCCTACAAAGTTGAGCACTCTATGAAAAAACGTTTTAAATAATTATATATATA